TTTTATTTTATTTTTTTTTTTATTTTGTCACCTTCTGTCCTTTGGCAATAGTATGTCTAATTTAAATGATCTCCTTTCAAATGATCTCTAAAGTTCTTGTGTCCTTGGGCAAGACACTTTACCTGAGTTGCCTACTGATGGTGGTGCCAGTACATGGCAGCCCTGCCTCTATCAGTGTGCCCCAGGGCAGCTGTGGCTACAGTGTAGCTTACCACCATCAGTGTGTGAATGAGTGAATGGCTGTGGTGTAAAGCGCTTTGGGGTCCCCATGGGCCTTGATAAAGCATTAAATAAGATCAGTTCATTTACCATTTAAAAAATATATTTTCTACTCAGTTTTGTTTTTATTTACCAGGCAGTTTGTGCACCAGCTTCACTGTTCCCTCTCTTTTTCAGTGGTGGGAGAAGCTAAAGACATAGACTGGTACGCTCCCAGTGGTGAAAAAATCCTTCCAACCAGGCCGAACATTTCAGTGAGCCGCAGCGACGAAACGACGTCCATTCTAACCATTTACCACGCCAACATAGACAATGCTGGCATCTACAAATGCGTGGCAAGAGACGGGGACAAGGAGGCTCAATCCACGGTTCAAGTGACGATCTTTCGTGAGTGTTGTGTTTTACGCCGTCAGTTCTTTTCCATGAAAGTATTTTTAATGCTTGTCCATCACTATCGCTGCAGAAACTCTGCCGAGCCACTCAGAYGCCACGAGAGCTCTAAGCATAACAGAAAGACAACTCAAGTGCTTCTCATGAGAAAGGCTTCAGCATTTAAAACTAAATTAAAAAGCACTGGACAGGAATGAAAAAGAAGGACTCCAGTTGATATTTTCTAAAAAAAAATAATAATGTGTAAATCTTGTGAAGGATTTTTCATAAGCTCTCAAACTACATGYTGACACCCCTGACAGATGTTCAAAAACCCCACCTCATTTTGGTCCTTTGGACAATATTTATATTCCATTTTCAGCCTAGTTTTGCATGGAAATCATTGTTTTGTTATATTTGGTGTATGCTGATTGTTTAGGCAGTTTATACACATTTGAATGATTTTTTTCACTGTTCTCTACAGAAAAGATCACTTTCCAGAAAGCACCCAGTTCGCAGGAATTCAACGAGGGGGACAATGCTGACATAGTGTGCGATGTCGTCAGTTCTCCACCGCCAACCATTTTTTGGAAGCACAAGGGCTCCAGAATCCAAGCGTCCAAAGATGGTGAGCAGATTTAAAAAAAAAAAGAGAGAAAAACCAAACCACTGTGCTCGAGCTGCTTTCTCACCTCCGATCCACCATGCAGTCAATCCACTTGACTCCCTGAGCAGTCCCCTCACCTTCCTGCCCGTGCCGTCTGCCAGTTTGTGCTTTCCAATCAATTTTCTTCACTATTTCCGAATCTCCCACTCCCCTTCCCTGTTATCTACGAACAAAGCCAAGCATTTACTGCAGGAGGTTGTTTCAGACCTYTTAGATGCCACATGCGCTTGGAAACAGTATTTTTAGGCTTGTAGCTGGAGGTTACCGTCAGTTGAAAGGATCTCTGAGGGTAGAATGAAATTTAATTTGCACAGATAGAAGAAGGATTGTGGTGAAAAAAAGTGGAGAAAGTGGAGGAAGAAAGAAAAGCAAACACTGTAATTTTTTTCTGTCAACGTTAACAAAAGGGAGAATTGCAACGAAGACCTATGAAGTTTTGCAGGTTAGCTAACTTAACAACAGGTTACTTTGTATTTTCCCAGGAGTGGAGCGTCTACATGTTCGGCAGTCAACAACTGGGTAAAACTCGTTGCTCTCTGTAGGATTGCCAGGTTTGCTGCCAGAATCTGTGATTTTCAATGGCGCTCTCGACTGAAAAAGCACTCCTGTTAGTATATGAAGTACGCTCGCCACCTTTAGACTTGAAAGGAGGTTCAGAGAAGTTTGCCGCTCGCTCCTTTAGACATAAAGAAGGCTGTAATTAGCTTTGATTTGCAGCAGTTACCATTGATTCCACCATTCACTCATAATAAGCAGAGCAAACCTGACTAAAAGGAAAAACAAGAAACGATCCATAGAAATTTTTCAAACCCTTCTGATGTTATAATCCCTTTATCAGCGCTGATGCTCGTGTTTTAAACAATTGTAGTTTTGCTGAAAAGAGMCGTGATGCTCTATTCAAGAGAAGAATGAACACTGCAGAAATAAATAGCCTTTCTGTGAAGCTTTTAAAACACTTGTTTATTCTTTTATTATTGTATTGTGTTTGACTGGTAACTGTGAACCTTTTCTCTTTTACACTTAGTCCTGCTGACAATGAGATAAAGAGAACCTAAGTGGAGTTTTTTTATATCATGTGTGAATAATTTGATGTGTCAACTCAATTTTACCCAAAGTTTGATGCTTTCATTTTAAAAACCCCCTTGGTTCAGAGTTCTGCGCTGGATTCAAACAAAAAAAAAATGTCCGTCACACAAGCGAATTGCTTTATTTTACATTTGAACTCAGTCTATTTTCACCTCGGCGTAACCCCTCCCCTGGTGACCACCGGAGAGCCTGGAGTCACCGCAATGCTGTGTAAGCCTGCTTTTATTGTTGGACTCTTCTCAAGGAATGTGTTTTTCTCTGGGAGGAAAAAAAGAAGTAATTGTAACCAACTTTGAAAACTGCTTGTGCAATTTTCCTCAAAGCAGTAGTTGACCTAACCATGAGGTCAAATGTTAACAAAAAAACTGGTCATTCATGTCAGCGAGATATAAATTAAGAGCTGAACTGAGTGCACATACTGTATGTGTGGAATGAGGATTACAGTATTTCCTGACAATATGCAGTTAAACATAATTAGAATGCAAAGCATGACAATTAAATRCCTCACTTAGGAGCCTCAAACATTATACTGCACTCAGTGAAATTATTTTTCCACAGCTATGGTAATAGTAGCTGAGGAGGGCTTGTCARTCCTCATAAATAATCTAAATCTAAAAATGTATATAAAATGTTTAATATTCTGAGCCAGCGCCCCTTCCAGCRTACAATGAGTTCTAACTTGTAGGTCACGTCATAAAGTAGAGAAAGACACTGACTTTATCAAATTAGTTTTCATTTCATTAAAACAAAAATTTCAGGAAAGTATAGCAAACAAAGCTCCAGCACTAAGGGTGGTAGACCCCCTACCAACCTCAAGACATGTCTTACATTTTATCCAGACTGCCAAGGGTGCAACCAATTAGGAAAACACAATGAAGCCCCAGCCTTAAACAAAGAATTTTAAACCACTGCTGCAAGGCTGGTGGGAATCCAGAAGGATGTAGCACCTGTGGAAGACTTCACAGTTCTTAAACCAGCCTTTGTAGCTCATTTTGGTCGGTGAAAAAAGAAATTTAGAYAAGCTCACCGATTCAGTTCCTGTCAGTCAACCTTAACTGTTGTGAATTCTGAACCCTGGATTTTAATGAACCTGAGAAACAACACCCGGTTCCAACGAGACAGCTCACTCTGTCAACACGTCATTTAATTATTGGTTAAATATTTTACCAAGCAAAATTATTAGTGTAAATACACACCTGTTTGTGTCAATCCAACTGCATGATAACTTAGTAATTACTTTTATTTAAACCCATCTGGAGTGAGCATTCCTTGGGTTCTGGTGTGAGTCTTTGCATCGAGCAGAGCAGTTCAGGTATCAGGAAGTGGTATACACATTTGATGGTAGTATGGAGTGGGATCAAAGCCTTGTCAGGGCATTGCTTTGGTCTGTCACAGGAAAGAAGCAGCTAACCTGAAAAGCAAAGYTTTTCGATTTACCAATTCATCTGTRTTGCAACATATGGGGTATGAGGTGTGGATCATAACCGAAGGAACATGATCCTTGGTACAGGTGGCTGAAATGAGCTCACTTCATAGTGCAGACAGGTCCAGCTTTTAGAAATAAGGTAAAGAGCTCTATAATACAGGGAAAGCTCAGGATATAGTAACTGCTCCTTGGGATCGAAAGGAGTCAATTGAGAGAGCTCTGGCATTCGATTAGGATGCATACCGAACGCCTCCCTGTGGAGGTTTTTCAGGGACATCATACTGGTGGGAGATCCTGTGGCAGACCCAGAACTTACTAAATGGATTATGTCCTCTTTGGGCTAGAAACACCCTGGGATTCTCCAGATAAAGCTGGAGTGTGTTGCTGAGAAGAGGGATGTCTGTGTTTCCTTCCTGGATTATTTCATTGATCGGATGGATGGATGAATGGATATATTGAATTTATATGAACTAAAATATATAAATGTATGTAATGGTTGTGCTTATGATCTCAATAATCTGAAACATTTGTAAATGCATGAGCCATGCTTTATGCTGTGGTTTCCTGTTTCTCTCTTAGTTCGATACAAGATCATGGAGAATGGCCATCTGCAGATCCGTGGCATTAAGAAGACTGATGAGGGCACGTACACGTGTGAGGCTCGTGTCATGGCCAGGGGAGAAATTGACTTCCGAACAATAAAGGTCGTCATTAATGGTGAGCAGCCGCATCGCCTTCCACACTCTGCCTGACCTGCCGTCTGCTGAATGACTGTTACTGTTCAAAACAGAGGGATACAATTAGGATGACTCTCAGAGACAGAAAATGGGGATTTCAAAGCCTAATAAGTGGTTCATAGTCCTTTGCACTAAAATGATCAGGTAGCTCATCTGTCCACTTGGCCTTTTTGTATTGTATCTGTTTATGTAGACCGTGATTACTGGAAAGCACAAAGAAATGCATTTGATTATGTGTGAACTTGCTGATCCCTCAGTGTGTGCGCACAACATATTTGTGTCCTCAACTGGTGCCTTTGGCTATTGGAAGGTTGCTATGGGCCAAATTCTTGGTTTAACTTGTCCAGTTTATTCCAAGTAACATTTGCTGTAAGAATTTTAAAAAAAGTTGAGAATAAGGCAGTTTAGGCAACAACTACACAACATTACCATGAAATCATAAAACATGTTTCTAAATAACCATGTTCACACAATCTGGGCAACACATAAGACATGCATGTGTGAAAGAGAGCTRACTGCTGGCTGCAAAAGAAAGCAGAAGGTAACCTAAGACTAGAATCATCAAAATATTACTAGAGATGAAAGCAGAGTATAAACAAACATTCCAGGAACTAATGAAAACTAACTTGTCATGAACCAAAAAATACAAGAGGGAATCGTGATCAATTATATATTTTGTTTAAAAAAGGCAGAACATTAAAAGTAGATTCTTATTTACAATGTGGGTCTGACAGTCAGGCCAGCACTGGATCAGGATCAGATAAAAAAAGTGAAGACTTGGCACCGTGATTACTGACCGGTGTGTGGGAAAGCAGAAATCAAGACTAAAACAACTTCAGACTGAGTATTAAAACAATACGACACATATGGCACCATGATCTCAGGAAACCATGAAAACCCTTTCAAAAACCTAACATAGTAACTGGAATAATGTTATAAAAATGAGACCAAAAAATTTAAAAAACAAAAAATACTGGCTTTTAAAAAAGAAAAAAATAAACCATGAAGAGAACATCTAATATAAATCAAACAACCTAAAACTATATATATATATATATATATATAGGACCTGGAACATTATCTTTCAACCATCAACTCCCCAGTTGCCAGCTGAGCTGAACCTTTTTTTTTCCTAACCTTAGAGCTTATTTAAACATATACTGTATTGTATGCAGGGGTCTCATTGTGCTTTTGTCAGAACTAGTTTCCTTTTAAGTAACACCAGAGGTTTAAGTGTCCTCGCTTATATGATCCGACTGATCCCACCGACTGAAAACTCACTGACAGATCGTCTGGATGGTTTTGGTGAAGAATTTTTGAGAAGCTTTTATTGCAATAAAAATGAATGTAGACTGTGTCAGTGTTACCCCCTCCTCCTCCCCGCTCTCTTCCAACCTTATGTTCWTATGATTAAAGTTTAGAACCAGCTAGTGAAGACAGCGTGAAGTAGTTTAACAAGATATTTGCATAAGCAGTGGATAAATTAAAAAAGTAACTACGTTTGCCAGATAGGAACTCATAATCTCAAATTAMTGGCACTTTCAATGCAGCACTAATTAAGTTAAAACAGTTTATTAGATTGTTGCCTTCAAGCTTTAAAGTATAGTTTTGTTTTGGTTTTGTTGTTAGTTTTTTTAGCGTAAGACTTGTTTTAATCTTTGTTTTAAACATTTATTGCATCAAATTTTTGGATAAAGATATGCCAAAGTCACCACAAGCATTACGGTTTGGTACAAAAAGAAACAAATCCCAAGAGTTTCTTTTTTAACGAACCATCATCCAGTAGCAGATAAAATGGGAAGCATCTAAGACAGCAGATCATACACTAAGGTAGGCCTTGTTAATGGTTGACTTCACTATAAAGTAGAAAAAAATCATCCTTTATTGTCCTGTTTCTTTAGTTAGAGTAATTCATACAGATCACATGTCACACAAAAACTTTGATAAGCCTCAGAACTGAAAGACCGTTTGCTAAAAAAAAAAAAAAGAAAAGAAAACTCAAATGGAGCCCTGCTCTAAACGTATTTGTGTGAACGCGGTGCGTTGAGCTGAGCGCAGCATGCCGCTGTGTGAGCAGTCCGAGGGCGGAGCACAGGACAACACCGTAACACATCAAATCAAAAGGAAACACACACCAACACAAGCTCCTGCATCCTCTGTGTCACACAGCTTGACACCCTGCTGCATCAGAAGGAAACGCACAAACACACACACACACAGAGTGATCACTCTGCAGTCTTCATTTGGTTGTTATTTTTATGATCCTCAGTGTGGCTCTCAGCATTCAAGCTGCCTCTGAAAAGTCAAGCTATTTCCTATATTTTCTGTCTCCCAGCAACCAGTGTTGAATTTAGGCACTGCTTATGCACATGCACCCCCCTCCCTGCCCCACTCTGTGTTTTTACCCCTGCAGCTTTTACCATTTTCCTATTTGAACAGGGCTGTTTCCTGACAGCAAATTAATGSGTTGGAATGCACCTATACTGTCACACCTCTAATGACACACTAAGGTGTTAATCTGAATTGTACTTCTCATATTTTTGTTTATTTTATTGTATTTTTTTTTACTTTTGTTTCAGTGCTGCCCACCATCCGAGCCAGAAAGTCTGAGGTCAACACTACGGCTGACRTTGGTGGATTTGCTTTATTGGCCTGTGATGCTGATGGCTTCCCTGAACCCACGGTTTCCTGGAAACGGTGCGTCAACTTCCTGTTTTGATGAGATTAAAGGATCAAATATAGGGATCGGATTACATTAGATCAGAAAGGGTGAAAGCTCAAGCCCAATAAATAGGTGTTTTCTTTAGTCTGCAAGTTGTAGATGAATTTAAAGTATWTCCTCACAGAGAAATGAGTTCCATCATTATGTTGGCGTCTTACATTGACTGGATGCACATGATGCTAAACAAAGAATCACGATCCTCTAATGTCCATTTTAAATGGCACAGTGTTGCGAAACAGATTATATTCAGTTTTCTGGTGAGGCCTGCTGCAGTCCCATTATGTTTCCGCAGTCAATCATGCTCAGTTTTAATTTCCAAGTTCATTTTTGGAAAGACATTTAGCATGGAATGATTGCCCTTTTCATTAAAACAAAATATAGATTTCTTATATCCAAGCTGAAACCACTGAGCAAAGGTGTGCCAGTTATGTAAAAAAACATGYACTTGCTAAATCAAACTACATTCATTTAACAAAAAAAATAAATGAATTAAAATAAAAAACAAGGTGCAGATTCCCTTTAGCCCATAACAGCGCCGATTACATCTGTTTACGACACCTTAGAGTTCCAACAATGTGCACAAACAGCCAGGAATCATCTCTTGTTGCAGGTGTTTGCTCTGTGCGCCGTCACATTTATGGTGCATCACTGATCACTTTGAAGAAGCACAGCAGCAGCCGGGCTGGGGAAAGGGAACCTTTGCATGAAGCGTTAGTTTGCAGAGATGAGGAGTAAATAAAATTACAGAGCTCGGGGTTTTGCTCACAGCTGTCCTCGGCGCAGCTAAGCTGATGTCTGATGGATCTAGAAAAGATCCTAAAAAGTTTAGGACAGAAAGGGGGATTGCTGAACAGAATAAGGGCTATTGCACAGCTTTAAAAGTACAAAAACAAAAACAAAAAAACAGATGTTAGGAATGAAAGAAAACCACAACCAAAACAATCTATAGAAGCTGTGAAATATCTACAGCCAAGTAAGTTAAGAAACCTATTAGTAGCCCACTGAAGTTGTTTCAAGACTTGTGATGTGAACTCCTGCTGTTTCCTTTTTTTTCTTCCCGCTGCTACAGTAACGACGTTGTCCTTGAAGCGGGTGACAAATACAACTTGAACGCGGATGGTTCTGAATTGATAATAAAGGATGTCAAGAAGGTGGATGAAGGAGATTACACTTGCATCGCCAAGAACAAGGCAGGAGAGAAAACAGAGGAAGTCAGCCTGAACGTGTTCAGTAAGRAAATGTCTTCATTTGTGTACATGCTTGTTTTAAGAAGAGGGTTTCTTTTTTTCTTCTTCTTCCTTCTGGCCTTTCTTGTCACACTCATTGACATTTGCTGCACATTCCTCTACAGCTTTTCCAGTTGCTAGATGTGGAAACACACAGAGAAGTGTTCAGCATGCTCTGTTGAAATGTAATTAGGATGCCTTTTAGGTTCCTGAAAAYGTACGGCATATCACAAAAGATTTTTCTCTGAGAAGAGCCATGTGGTAMTACACTTGTGGCTTGCCCTGAACAGATATATTTCCAGATATGGTTTGAATCATAACCGTCTAACAAGGTGCTGGGCATGTGGAAGCCCTTCGAAGTCTTCTTTTTCAATATTTGAATAAACCATATTATTTTTTTTCTAGTGATACCCAATATTACCTACTTGAACAACCAGACTGCCTTAGARTTTGACGAGGAGGTCACCCTGACCTGCGAGGCCTCAGGTGACCCCACACCTACCATTTCCTGGAAGTTTGGAAACAGGATTTTCACAGAAGGAGAGCAGGTAACGTTTAATCTGTRTCCCTGTGTGAAATAATCTTTTGTTGAATCGAAACTATGAAGAAGAAACAGTTAAAACAGAGGAGTGTTAGCAAAGTTCAAAATTACTCTGCAATAATATGAGTTGCCAAGTGTAAAATGAAATGCTAAAAAATCCAGTAGTGTCAGAAAATGTTAGCATCAGATAACCAGGATGATGTCATCATCCTGCGACAAACATCTGTGGCCGTTGCTAGCGTCATCTCATTTTGCAGTTACTTTTATCAGTCATCACTTTCCACAACACTCATCTTACCTTTTTTTTGTCATTCAAGCAAAATCTCCATTAGCCTACCAAATCATCACAGTATCATTGAATATCTTAATGGTTAAAGCCAGAGGAAGTAAATCTGCAAATAAACCCATTCTAGACATTTATGTGGTTAATACCAGCACATGTTAAATTTTCCAAACTTTACTTAGTATTAATTAAGGACTTTTTAAAAGCATATTTGGTGTAAGTGCTGTAAAAAGTGCCGATTTCACAGAAAAGTGCAAATGAGCTGAAAAATTGGGAAACTATTCTGTGTTGTTCCTCTAATTATCCTTCAGAACCAGATTGTTTCGGCTCACTTACGCTGCCCTGTGGAGTGCTACAAAAACCCACTTTAGACACAAGTGGTCTCCTCTTTTTTTAAAGATAAAAGTGATTCAAGTAATAAAAACTCAACACGAGGGTTATGTTGAATGTGCTTTTTTTGTGCGTTCTTATTTTTCTCCTGAAGCCTTGCTGGTGATAACACTGTTTCAAAGTGCAGCATGGTGAAAGTCTTAAGTAGTGAAAGCAATGGTTCACATCCTCATGGATTTTTTCTGGTTCACTGGTCACAGTGTTCTCAGCCTCCCAACTTTGTTTTCAGGCTCTTATCAGCTTATTAAAATTGTATAGTTTTGGGAGAGAAAAAACCATCTTAACATGATGTGAGCAGCAGAAGGATAAGTTGTTTAGAGAGGTAATTTTCTGCTGTGATTGCAGTAAACAGTATTAAGATAATTACCTTGCTGCCTCTAGCAGCTTTGTGGATTCTGAAACACAGGTTTGCTCCTCAGTTTATAAACAGCAAAATAATTAATAGACACTGCTTTTTTCTTAAGCTATAAAATATGAGTATTGTGGATTTTTGTCATGCCAAAGGTTCATAAAAGGCTTGCTGACAGACTTGCAGCTGACCATTTTACATTTGCTTCAGGGCAGCAGGAAAGCAACAAGAACTGATTAAAAAACCATTATTTTAACCTTGAATCAGTCTCTGAGGCCTCTGGCTTTGATTCTGGTTTTCAGAATCACAAAAAGAACCATTTTTTTTTCATCCTGCATCAAACAGTGCTTGTATAAAGGATGCTTCAGATGATGGAAGCTGTAAAGTGAGCTATTCTTATACAATAACTGCACTGAAAGCACCTGTCCTGTTCCGTCCCAAAGGACATGAAGAGACTCAGTTGAGAGATATTTAGGCCACACTGGCCTACTTTACTTCACGTGCTTCGTCAGCTGCCTCCGTGACATGGATGGTAACGTCGAGCTCACGTGTGGAGCAAATGTAACCGCAAATATATTACAGAGAAATATAATTATTTGACAAAACGTTGGAAGTTCTGTCGTTTTTCTAGACTAAATATGCTTTGAGTAAATTATTTCCACAAACACACCCAGGTCCACAAAATTTGAAGTTGCTAAAAACTGAAWATTTGGAAACTCAGCTCCAAACCAGAGTCTTTAGACGTGTCCACATTTAGGTGCATGGATAATCCACAGACTTGGCGTTAAAAATGCCCAGTTTTCCCTCATTAACTGTGCGATTCATCACTGCCAATGAGCGGCAGCAGTCACGGCCGGATTGCGAGTTTCTGAATGTTATCTTCCACCTGCACGGTGGAACTCGCCTTGCCCATCTCCATTCACAGTTGTCAACAAATGTCTTCCATTCACCGCCTGTCATCCCCACTTTATTCCCCTATCGGTCACTGTCAGAACAATTTCGATTTTATGTTGCTGCACTCTGAAAGCGTCCGTGATCATTTGATAATAGCACTCTAATTTTCTTTGGGTCGTCATTCATCATGGGTTTTCTGTTTGCTTCACTCTGTTGCCCATTTTCACTTTACGTTCCACCAGTCTGATAGTAGAGCACAGACATGTTCATTATGATGTGCAATGACAGAGCAGTAATTTAACTCAACTGCTGCTGCCTCGTTTCAATAAACCTGTTTTATTTAAGAAAAAAAGGCACACACGTGATGATACTGCCGTGCAATTTCAAAAAGATTTCAGCATGAAGTTGTTTGCCAAAGATTTAATGAATGAGCAGATCAAAACCCAGATCACAGAAAGTGCTGATAAGTAAGAAAAGTCTCCAAGTGCCAGCAGTGGTTCACCTATAATTAGTTTCCTTGCCTTGTTTTTCTCAGCRTGGCCAATTCATTATTACAGAACATTAATTAATAACCAGCTGAGAAGGCCTCATGCTGCGTCCAGAAAAATATTCTCTACTTTGGCATTTTGGTCAGCTCCATATTTCACTGATTTGCAGCAGAATAGCTAAGATATTTGACTTTAACAAAAAATCTTGGAAGCTAGTGATGCTGTAATTTCACTTGATTTTATTTCTTAAAGCTTCCCAATAAAGGGGTGATTTATTCTTGTCAGAATTAATCATGCTGATGGTAAAAACATCTTGGCAGGTAAATGCTTTGGCCTCATCTGATGTGAAAGTAAATGCATGCAATTTTCATCTACTTCAGGACTATTCAACTGGTGGCCCGCAAGCCACATCTGGCCCACGAATGACCAAAGTTAGGCCCGTCAATTGGTTCAATTATCTCTTAAGCTCAAACCCCCGGTTTTCTACTTTTAATATTATAACTTATTTTATTTGGATATTTTTTTGGTTTAAAAATGTGCAAGTCAGTGGGTTCTGTATGTTGTATTCATGAGTAATTGCAGCAAAATAACCTACATATTTCAAATGTGACAGACTTTGTAATACTTGGTTTATTTGCATAATGACTTTAATTGCTGGATGTTCGACCCCTGAGCTGTTGGCCTGCGGTAACTGTGGCCCCCGGAGCAATTTAGATGAGTGGCCCCAATCTAGTTGTACATTCTTGTTGTTCTTTTTCTTGATTATACACACACACACACACACACACACACACACACACACACACACACACACACACACACACACA